TAAAGGACTGAAATTCCATTAATACAACGATATCTGCATATTTTTTTTCAGTTACAGCTAGTATAAGCTCTCAAAAGATTCTTTTCCATAAAACATAACTTACATTATTAACCAATCTTGGCCACCCAAACCCATTTATACTGTATTTTTTGTCCAACCATTTCCAGGCAGGTTCCCACTTTAAATACAATTAAAACTAACACACAAGCAATTCAATTACATATAATTAACACTTGATCCATATTTGTAAAATTCTGTTGTTTTGGTTTGTTTGGGGGATGTGGGTTGTGATGATAGCGTGGAAGAGTGTTCTAGGGAGCAGGTGCATTTGGGGTACACACGGTAGTAGTCACCGTGTACACACACACACACACACACACACACACACACACACACACACACACACACACACACACAAACAAAGATTGAGATCTCAAAAGGGTAATGATTTAATATTGAATTTATGAACGAGTTGAATGATATCCGCTGTGCATTATTCAACGAGTGTACCTACTATGTATGTATGTATGTATGTATGTATGTATGTATGTATGTATGTATGTATGTATGTATGTATGTATGTAGGTAGGTAGGTAGGTAGGTAGGTAGGTAGGTAGGTATGAACATGAGTATGTATGTATGTATGTATGTATGTATGTATGTATGTATGTATGTATGTATGTATGTATGTATGTATGTATGTATGTATGTATGTATGTATGTATGCATTATATATATATATATATATATATATATATATATATATATATATATATATATATATATATATATATATATATATATATAGTGTCAGTAGCAGCAAAAATTATATATTCAACTGATTTCAGAATTTGATCACTTGGTCACCGTACAGAGTAGAGTGAGCTGATGCGGTTAAGTATCGTGAAATAGGCAGTGTGATTGAAACTGATTGTTTGTGTTATCCATAAGGAAACAAAATGCCTAGGGATTAAATCGTTAGCAATTAAAATTAACTGCTACAATCTACTAATCAAACTGCTCTAATTTATTTCCTTTCTTTTTCGAAAACATGATGGAACTTTATCTTTAAAGCTCTAAGATCATTTCATCAACTGATGGATCATCCTTACTTCAAGCTTTACGTTTGCGACTTCTTATATAAATAAATAAATAAATAAATAAATATATTATTATTATTATTATTATTATTATTATTATTATTATTATTATTATTATTATTATTATTATTATTATTATTAAAATATATAGAAGGTTCTGTGGACTCCCGTTATGTTACCACTGTTATTATTAGCCATCCTTGTTTAATTGAGCTGACGTCATTATTAGCCATCCTTGTTTAATTGAGTTGACGTCAATTACAAATGTAACTGTTATGAAAAGCTGTGTAAGGTAAGCACCTTCGAAGACCTCTAAACCTGGCTAACTTTTATTTATGCTTATTTATAAGCAATCAACGTAAAGTAAGGATAACAAATCACGGCCTAGTGTTATATCATCTACAATAATGTTCAGTCAATTAAATAACTGATTTGCATTTCATGCCTGTATAAAATGAAAGATTTTTATTACCTCAAGTTAATCATATTTTGATTATAGTTTAGGGACATATTCAAATTATTTTCTTTACTGAGGTCGCTTCTCAAATTGCTGTTCACACCATTTTCATGTTGTTCATGAAAAAACGACTTAACTTGGACGCGAATAAAACATTTTCATGCATGTCATGGGTAGCTAAATGCGAATATTTAAATAATATTACCAAATATTTATCTTAATGAATATTTCATAAACAATAGTTAAAACTACATTCATGAAAAAGAATAATTCCGGGTGATTATTTAAAAGTTAAAACCTGAGTTTATGAAGATCTCTCTTTTGATAATTCTGAGCAGGAAACTTCGATTTGTAACCCAAATCGTACCTCGAATTTTAACATTTGCTGAGTATGTTGAACTTTGTGGATGCTTTCATCAAGAGAGAACATTTAGTAGCGGTTTTTGATTTGGAAAAGGCCTATGACACAGCATGGATGAACATGCTGGAAGGAAAAACCTATTCCAGTTGTCGAGGAATTAAAATTTTTGGGTATTATCTTCGATAGAAAACTGACTTTTATTCCACACCTGAAAAATTTGAAAGCTAAATGTTAGAAATCTCTAGATTTACTTAAAGTATTAGCGCACACTGACGGGTGCTGATAGGAGCGTCATACTCAGTTTATACAGAACTTTTATCAGCTCGAAATTAGACTATAATTGCGTTGTCTATGGTTCAGCAAGGAAGTCCTATTTGAAGATGCTTGACCCAATCCATCATCAGGAAAAAAGACTTGCCCTGGGAGCATTTAAGACATCCCTGTGTGAAAGCCTACTCGTTGAAGCGAACGAACCATATTTATCACAACATAGAGAAATGCTTTCCGCACAGTATGCTATCAAATTAAGATTCAACATTATGAACCCAGCTTTTTCGGCTGTTGTTGAACCAAAATATAAAACCTTATATGACAATTAACCAAAAGTCACACCTACCTTTGGCATTAGAATATCAAAATTCCTTGAAAGTACCCAAATTGATCCTTCAAAAATTCTGAAAACGACCGTCTCCGACCCCGCCCCCCATGTCTACTTCAGCAAACAAGAATACTTTTTACGTTACATGATGGAAAAAAAAATCGGAGACAAACCCTTCCATTTTCCACAACTCTTACCATGAACTCCTCACCCAATTTTAAAATTATACAAAAATATATACCGATGGATCAAAAGATGAGGAAAAGTCTGCAGCAGCCTTTGTAAGTGGAAAACACACAACCAGAGTTCGATTGCCATATGGTACGTCAATTTTTTTCAGCCGAAATCAGAACAATATACCTTGCTTTGCAATACATTCCAAGCAAGCGTATTTTAAACAACATCATCTTCTCCGATTCACTATCACTACTTCTGTCACTACATAATAGAAAACTGGAGAATCCATTATTAGCTAATATTCTCCTTAAATATACTGAGCTAAGTGCCTCATACAATATAGTATACTGTTGGTTACCCAGCCATGTTGGAGTTAAAGGTAATGATAAAGCAGACCGCGCTGCTAAAATGGCCCTATCATTAGAACCATATGAGTTTAAAACATCATATACTGATTTTAAACCTAGTATCAAAGACGGTTTACGTCAGAAATGGCAGGCATCATGGAATGATGCCGTGAATTACAAACTTCATGCCATCAAGCCAACACTAGAAGAATGAACACCTTCATACAGAGCCGAACCTAGGGAGGAGGTTGTCATTGCAAGAATTCGTATCGGCCGTACTTATTTAACCTACTCCTACATACTAAAAGGAGAATACCCAACAGAATGCATATCTTGCAATGAACAATTCACTGTTAAGCACTTTATGCTGGAGTGTTTCGACCTCCAATCTACACGTAATCAATATTACAATGTGCAAGACATGAGGGAGCTCTTTGATACAGTTAGCATTTCTTATATCATAGACTTTCTGAAGGAAGTAAATATTTATCGTAAGTTATAGCTTTTATGTCATCTCCTTGAACAGTTTTATGTGTTATATACACCACCGCTAGATTTTAATTACCTTTTATCGTTGTCAAACAACATTTGTACTCCCCATTGAGTGGGAAACTTTACCTTTTTTTATCACCTTTACCATTTTATCGTTTTACCTTCATTAGTTTGGTTTCATATCACTGGGCGATACAAAATCTTTCACCACTTTTAAATAATGAAAAAATTTAACGTTTTGAATGGTGCTAAATAGCCTCATTGTGTTGGTGCGCCGTAAAAAATTCAACTAAGCAAGCAACCAACCAACTGGACTTTGTGATTTTGGAATGAAACATAAAAAAATTATGAAAGTTTAACTTTTACCTGCTTATAAGATTACACACAGTTTCATTCTGATTGGAATCAAATGTCCACAGCTCTACGTAGAGATCTGTCAGAAACTGAAAAAGTTTATGCTTTGGTGATCTTTGAGAATCCTAGTCCTTTTGTTTCTTGTAGCCTTTGCCATAAAGGGTTGTAATTTTGTGCTAGGAAGATCTACAGCTAGAAACGATATGTTCCAAATAGCACATGTTTCTTTGAGATATTTGAAGCTTATGATCTTATTGCTTAGGCACATGGTCAACAAAAATGGTCCTTTGGCGCCCATCAGATCTACAGACAGGACTGTTTCGATCCAAAGAGTGGGTTTTGTTTCCTTCACATTCATATATGATATGTGTGACCTATTGTATATTGTGATTGGTATTCCTAATTTATTTTTATACTTAATTTCCAATAAACAATATACAGTAAATAGTAAATGAAGTATGCAGTGCGATGTATTTACTTAAAGACAACAGCATAAAACATTTATCTATGGCTATCTTTAGCTTGCCTTGGTACTGTCCTCTGACGCTAATGAAGGTCTAAATGTCGGCAGGGCTATTCTTATTAGTTCAAGCAAAAATCCTACATCATCCTCAAAAATCCCCCCTCATAAAAATCATACCTCGTCCTCATAAATGCCCCTCATATTTGGGGTGAGACGATCTTGGCCGACATTATTGTACCAAAAATTCATTGGTATGGTCCCTCTCAGATTTGTCATCAAAAAGGGACCCAATATTCTCAAAACTTAAAGGCTTAAAGGGGTTTATGTGTTATTGTTTGTCCATTGTGTATGTGTTTTTGTATTAAATTTATTAAATTTCAATTTAATTGATTTTGAATTAGGTTTGTGCACCAGCTTATCTATTATCACTCAAGTTTTTATTTAATTTTATAAATATTTTAATAATGCAGTGTTTAATAAAGAGAATTTCTTATAGTTTTAGTATATGTATATTCAAGTCAAATTTTAAAATTATTATGTTTAAAATTAATAGCAGTTCAAAATCTTTTTTTTTAATAAAGTCATTTAGTACGGCTTAAAATAAAATTAATATTTAATGAATGTAGTACTGAGTTGATTAGTGTATGAACCGCTTCGGTGACCCAGTGGTTAGAGTGTCCGCCTCGAATGAGGGAGGTCGTGGGTTCTATCCCCAATCTTAGTCATACCAAAGACTTACAAAAATGGTACTAGCAGCTTCCTCGCTTGGTGCCCAGCATTAATAGGTTAGTGTTAGGATTGGTCGACCTGGTGTCAGAATAATGTGATTGGGTAGGACATCATGCTACATGTCTGCGGCATGATGCCACAGTGCTAGAGATTACTATAAACTGCCACACTGCAGACTTCGTAGCGATATGACTGAAAAGTTGTTAAAGCTACGTAAAAATCCAAATCTCTCTCTCTCTCTCTCTCTCTCTCTCTCTCTCTCTCTCTCTCTCTCTCTCTCTCTCTCTCTCTCTCTCTCTCTCTCACACACACACACACACACACACACACATTCTTAGCATATGAGTTCAAATCAAGTCAGTTAATGAAGTACGGGCAAAACCTGTGCACCCGAGCTAGTGAGTGCTGTGTACCTGCTGTGGGTTTACAAAAGAGCTTTTTAAGTACATGTATTAGTTCATAAATTCGAATTATAGGTAAGTAGTTACTAAAATTAATTATTTAATTATGTGAAGAAAACTTGTTTAATAAAAATTATAGTCAATAAATGCGCAAGGATTTTTAAATTGTTGTTTAATCATTTGTTTACAAATCAAAATATCAATGTAATTTATTTATAATTTATTTGGTTAAAAGCTGTAGAGGATATAATAAAAGCAATGTAAGCAGTACGAAAAGTAGAGAAAACTGTCTGTTTGTCAGTCTTGTAAATTTAATTATAATATTTTAAAACCTGTATCACATTTTCACAGTTCCTGTTCTATTGTTAATTGTAGTTTGAATCAAAAGTTCTAGCAATATTATTAAGTTATTATGATTTTCAATGTAGGTACGTGAACTTTCCTTGTATTCAATTTTATCAGTTCCTTTTCTATGGTTATTTTTCTCGTCTAAATCAAAAGTTCCAAGAGATATATTGCTAAGTTATTATGAATTTCAATGTAACTCAAAAGTCCGAGGATGTTCCAAATCATTTTCGCATTGTCATTGTTTAAATATTAAGATTCTTCCTCGGCTTAGTTGGATCTGTCACAATAAAAACGTGAGACGTGAATCAATGGCGTTAATACTCACAAGACACCACTTCATTTTCTATTTCGCAATTTACATTTTTATTAATTAATTTTCATCAGTGTTATCTAAATCAAAGTCTGTAGACGTTTCATTTCATATCAGCATATATGAATTTCACTAAAAATCCGCTGTCTTATCTCATAATCCATATTCGTTGTTTTATCTCATAATCCATATTCGCTGTCTTATCTCATAATCCATATTCGTTTCCATCTGTGATTCCTTCGCCTCTGCTGACTTTTCATTTTAGAACCTTTTGCACTAATAGTCTCTTTTAAGATTTTCCACTCGCTTGCTTAGGCGGCATTGTAATATCTTGATATATTTTTGACGAATGTAAGCGGAAAAGATTGGAAATAGCAAGAAATTGATTTTAACATTTTTATGGGTCTATAAATGTATCTTTTAAAATCTGATCTATAGCATACAAAAATTAAACTTTATTGTACCTTTGTATTTATTGTTATTCTGGAGTCTATTGGTATAGTGATGACAAGCAACTTTATCAATGTGCAATAAATTCGTCATTACATTGCGAATTTTCTCATCGACGATGATTGCACAGTTCATGTATGAAACTTAAACTAACAGATTTTCCAAAATTATACAAATTATAATACGAAGACATATGCTAATCAAAACTAAAGTTACACTAATACCCACGATCTAAAAGTTAGTCTGGTTCCCTACTTCGTATGCTACCTGATTTGACAGCGATACTCAACGTTTAAGATACACCTTGATCAGCGTAAGCTTTTCTTTGAATGTTTTTGAGTCTCCTGTTGATATTTTATCTAAATAAAATGACACTAATTCAACATCGTAATAAAAGTAGTGCCAAAACACGTAAGTATTGCAATTTTGTTTTTCATTGTTTAGTACCTAATCAGAGGAGAATTATAATTTATGTGAAACTACTCCTCCTTTGACCTACAATAACACTAAGAAAAGTCATCGCCAATAAAATAGAACACAAACATCTAAACCAAGGTCATAAAATTGTGAAACAGAAAGTGTGGCAATTTCAAACCGGAGACACACGTGTCACAGCGATTTGAAATGGCTTACGAGTCTTTTACCTTAGATAATGTATTTCCCGATGCTAAAAGCTGACCCATGGTTATCGAGTTGAATTTTACCAGGCGTATCGTGATCATTAATGACCTTTTAAACATTAGATGTAAAACTGCTTCTTACTTCCTGGATGGTAGATTATCGCTGAATACTATTTATAAATACACTTTATCAGAAGAAAAGCTACCAGCTGTTATAGAGTATAATACAATCATCAACGCGCGCGCGCGTGTGTTTACTAGCAAAAGAACAAATAACATTAAATTCACTTACTGACTTACATGTAAAGAAAGATGCTTTAAAATTATGCGACATGTTTTAAAGAATTTAGAAAGATGCAGGATGAATAATTATAAATTAATTCAGCACACAATTTTAATGCCCCCCAGACTGGCCCGTGAAACTACTCTGAAAAAAGTAAGTTATATATTTTTTTAAAGATTATGTTATGTTTCTGATGATTTACTCTGGATGATTTAATCAGGACACCAACATTGTATGCAATAGCAAATTATGAATATGGCATTAATGTTGTATGAGAAGGCCAAGGTAATATGGTATGCACCTATATGATTAGGCAATGTCTATCAAAATCTTTAAATGGGCAAACACACAACCAATCAAAGTAATCGAATACGTATTGAAGACAAATAGTTTGGCCGCTTTTTAAAAGTAGATTTAGAAATGACAATACATTTGCATGACTGTTTTAAGGATTACATTTTGGCACCTGAAAATGTAATTCATACTGAGTCAGATTTTTCTTGCAGAAGCAAATGATGAGACATACAAACAGTACAAACAATCAGTACCAAATTATTATACACGTTACAAAAACAGAAGTCTATGGCAGTCACCAATATAATGGAGGTTAGAAATGAAACTAGAAAAGATACATATTAAAGATTTATTTGATAAAATGTCATGGTTAAAATTTTATATCAAATTCAATGGATCTTCGAGACAAAAAAACAAAAAATAACTATGAAAATATTTTATGAAATTAATAACTGATGTTGCAATTTGGTAAATAGATTCGAAGAGAGAGAATGGATGTAAAATATGTATGGGCGAAGAGAACTATTTTAGACTTCGAAAATACATTCCATTAAGAAGGAGAACAATCCAGTAAAAGTTAGTTTAACGAACAATTTTTTAATTTTTTAAAAGAAATTTTATGTTTAAAAATCCGACTAAGACTGAACTTACAGTTCTAGATCTGAGTAAGTTTCTTGTGCGCAAATTTAACAAGAACAATCTCGGAAATAAATATGATGATAAAATGAAACTTTATATTCCAGATACAGTTTCATTATATGTTTATGTTCAGACACAAACTTTTTTTACACCAATATGAAAGAAACTATTTACTTTTTACGAAACTAACGATTACGAAAACAATAAGATTTTCGGTGTTCATCAGATGAATAAAAATGTGTAAGGACTAGTTAAAGATGAATGGTGTATCCGTATTATATGTTCGTGGTCTTAGAGGTAAAGCATGTTTTAGATAAAGACGAAACAAAAGTTTGTAAAAGTATTGAGAAAACAAGTAAATAAAATGATTAAACAATTAGGAATGTACACAAATTATGTATTTGTATCTTTGTGTATCCTTCAAAAACCTGTTAGTGTGTCATTTTCCATAAAAGTTCTAAAAGTGTTTGAAAACATTATTTTTCGTTTCTGTAAGGGGTTTCTCTATATAGTTTTCTAATTTTGAAAGAATCGTACTCAAATAAGTCCCTGTTTGCAATTCCAATTTTATCCTTCGACTTGCCTTTAAATTATTTATGAATGATATGTATTACCCAAAGCAGACAATAACCCTATAGGCTGACTTAATTGCAGCTTTATTATAGTACTTTAAGTAATAGTTCTTTAGAAATTACTTCTGCTCACTCACAGTATAATCCACCTGGACAGAATTCAAACGATGAAGTCAGCTGACCCTGCAGAAATGATCAAAGGGTTCAATTCGCAAATACACTGGCTTGCTGTGCTTCAGCCAACTTATAGTCTCGCGATCACGGACAGTCTTATCATAAATATACTATAATAAAACACAACAGGGAAAAATAGAGAAACATATTTCAATACATTTCGAGTACGCGGGAGATTTAAGTGAGCGGCATGAAAGATGGGAGACACCCTTACTTTCGGCAGAAAAAGCCTTCCATGCGGAAGGTTTGCATATATGATTTAAGTTGAAGCATTTTAACATGTAAATACCTAAGTAAATAGAAAAGTCAATGGTACGCATTACTTATTCACAAGAAGAACCACTTGCGTTGAATAACGTTGTCTGTTTTACCATAAATTTATTCATGAAAATATAATTAGTACAATGCTAACCATACTAAACAATATGATGAGTGTCCTTGTAGTCCCTATTAAAATCTTGTTGCATACATTGATTGTGTGACTCCAGGTGACTCCATGTGCAGTATTTATGATTGAACATTGGCAAATGCTATGAAAACAATACTTACGAATGCCTAGAATCATTTACGTTCTAAATAAACAAATTCTTACGAAAATATCAGTTCTCGTGAACAATGTTTATCATTACAATAAAACACAATGATCCAAAAAGAAAATTAAAAGAATTCAAATTTTACACACAAGTAATTAAAATACAGGGTCGTAACACTAGAATATTTAATATTTCTGAACTTGTGCTAGAGCATTTATAATTATATGGGATTTAGCTCACAATAAGAAAAGTTCCTTTTAAAATTTCGCTCTGTATTCAAGGAAATAAAATCTTGAGTTTACTATGCTTCTTGGTTTAACTTCTTCCATTTACCTAGTAGTTTATCAGAGCAGTTGCAACAATTCCAATTAA